ACGGCTAGCGCAGATAGCCCTCGTGTAGCTTTGCGCGAAATTCAAAAAAACAAACAAACCAAGTAACGCTTTCTTGTCAAGTTCTTTTTGTACCAAAACAGCTAAATTCTAGTTCGAGTTAAGAATAAAGCAGTCTTCTAGTTTAGAGGTTTTAACTCCGGTCTACAATTGGGTTTTCTACGGGTTTTATCCTAAATTCTTTACACGAGTCTATTATCTCATTGTTCGGCGAGTGTGGTTAATCCTCGAGGTTCTGGATTAGGAAGATCATACCATTCAAATATTTTAATGAAATACCGCTGACCCGACAAACTGAATTTGGACACTAAAATGCTAACTTGAAATGTAAAATGACATTTGAAACCTGGTTTCTACACGCTTTCAAACGTATATATCAGTTGTAAATAAATCACAAAGTGAAGGCGATATCCCAGATTATTTTATTTCTAACTCAGGATTGTAAAATACCCAAATAGTCCCAGATTCTGAAGAAACTCACTACCAGAACGATATTACATCCTATTGTGTAATGTTTTACGGATCACCAGAGTCGTCTAAATCACAGTCTGCCTAACGTCACTTCCGCTAGAGGTGAGTATATAAGGTTCATTTAATTTCATGATTTTTTTTAGATAAAAAAGCTGCAGCAAACTGAAATCCGGTTCGTTCCAGAATACTCGTTAGTCTACCCTATTTTTTTAAATAAATGTTACAGATGGCGGAACTAATGACCTAGTTGATGATTTTTGTAAAGCTATGAACTATATCTAAGTTAATGTCGTCGGTTGCTTGATAAAACAATACAAAATGAATACATATTTATCTATAATATTGTGGATGTTATCTTCTAAGAAACGAAAATACTTGTCAGTAGTTGTCTTTCGGCTACGAAGTCATTACCTCTTTTTCACTATGTTTAAAAAAATGAGGTGAAAATGAGTAACTGGCCGTAGATGTATATGTATTTATCTGGATTGAGTAAACTGATATTCATTGTGATCGACTAAACTGATATTTATCTGGATTTAGTAAGCTGATGTTTATCTTGGTTGATTAAACTTATTTCAGAATTCATTAGGAGGAATCTCTGTCCAGTAAAGTTGGGTGTTAAAGACGGCTCTGCAACAAGGAGGAAATATCGACTAACTATAAAAGGACTTTTTAATATAGCCTACATCATTGTTTATTGATCGTTAGTGTTCATGGTTGAGCAAATCACTAGTGTTATGAACTCTATCAAAGCCTATATTGTTCCTCTGAACAAAATCTTTATTTGGTTGTGGCTCCTAAACTCGAAGTCTATTTGGTAAGAGCTCTGGAAAGCTGTATGCCGTTTTTAGACCTAATAACAGTTACAGAAATTGTTCATCAGTTATTAACATATATCTTACTATAGTGGCTGTCCACTTCTGTTTTGAATCAAGTTTCATCACTGTGTAAGATTTTTTTATTGTAGGCCTAAAATTCGTTAAAAGAAGTATTCCCAATAATTTGTTAACAAATGTTTCATGTACTTGTCAAAGAGGATGGCCAACAACTGGTCCACAAACATCTCATGTGCTTGTCAAAGAGGATGGCCAACAACTGGTTCACAGATGTCCCATACATTTGTCAAGGGGGATGGCCAACAACTGTTTCACAAACATCTCATGCACTTGTTAAAGAGTATGGCCAACAACTACTTCATAGATGTCCCATAGATTTGGCAAGGGGGATGGCCAACAACTCTTTCACAAATGTATCATGCACTTGTCAAGGAGGATGGCCAAAACTGGTTCACAGATGTCTCATGCACTTGTCAAGGAGGATGGTAAAACTTGTTCACAGATGTCTCATGTACTTGTTAAAGAGGATGGCCTACAAAGGGTTGGCAGATGTCCCACACATTTGTCAAGGGGGATGGCCAACAACTGTTTCACAAACATCTCATGCATTTGTCAAAGCGGATGGCCAACAACTAGTTCATAGATGTCCCATAGATTTGTCAAGGGGAATGGCCAACAACTGTTTCACAAATGTCTCATGCACTTATCAAGAAGGATGACAAACAACTGGTTCACAGATGTCTCGTGCACTTATTAAGGAGGATGGCCAATAAATGGTTGACAAATGTCTCATACGTTTATCAAGGGGGTTGGCCAACAGCTGGTCAACATATGTCCAATACTTTTGTCAAGGGGGGATGGACAACCACTAATTCAGAGATGTCCCATACATCCAACAAGAAGGATGGTCAACAAATAATTCATAGGTGCCCGCGCTGGACATGGTAGCAAATGTGGCCTTTAAGTTTAATCTTAAAAATGTTCAACTGGGCTTTGATTTATTCGAAATGTTACTAAAATAAGATAATTGAAGTCACTGTTGTGCTATTTTTAACCCATTTCGGACAATACAAGCACAATATTACGTTTAAAGAATCCTTATTAATTGGGGTTGAAATGCAGCATAATTGGAAGGACATGATCAGCTACATCATTCAAGTACACTCTGGATGTAACTTGCTATTTTAAAGGAATTAAGTGAAGAACTGTTACAATGAGTATGTTCGCCGTATCACTAAACCACCTTCAGCAGACTTCACAGTTGAAACAACACGAGGAGGATCAAATGCATCATATGGTTTTCGCTACATTACCATTTTATATTCAGAAACGGCGACAAAACACGTAATAGGGTTTCAACGATTCTCTGTCTACAAATATCACACTAACTACTACTAAAAGTATACGTTCCTCTTTGCATTTGAGATAAAAGGTTTGTTTATTATGACTGTCGACTAGCATATAACCTTAAAAGTTATATATACCTTTTATATTTTCTTACACATTTTTGTAAGTTTTTTGGGTTTACATATGTGTTACTGGCGTGATATTGGGCTGATTTGATAATTAATGAATTGTATTTTATTTGGATTTGAATTTCGTTTTTTCTAAGCATAACAATTTTGAATTTTGCGGTAAGGAGCAATTTGAGCATTAGGCTTGAATCTGACATTTAAGAATTTTGTTTTATTTCGTCACTGTTATATAGTGCTCAATTTTCGCCTATATACTCTCTGTATAAATAGCATAATTTGACTATATATGTACATACACATACGTACAAAATCTCGACTGTTGTAAATCCTTATTAAAAACCAGTCTCATGTAATACACATTGCTTTGTTGGAATATGAATTAAAACGATTGATTTAGCTCACTGGCACAATGCATAAAACAGCTTAGTACGTTATTTTTAGCTCACCACCTTTTAATACATCAAGCCGACGTATTTATTATTTTGACCAAGTGATTTTGAGAGAATATCCATTAAATGGTCGATGTACGCTCAACTTGGTCTATTATTTAAGTATTATCGCTAGGGATAGTTTCTTTATGAAAAATAGCATTAGTCTGAACAAACAGGTAAAATCTGGTCGAAACATTACATACAATTTCAGCACTTACAGTTTTATGCATCGATAAATTCACGCATACTATACTGCTTTTTACTGCTTCGATTCATGTTCGTTCTGTTTAATTTATAATTTAGACATTCACTAACAAATGGTGTTGCTGACGAGGTTATTTCATGATGCTGTGAGTGAGGTTATTTCATGATGCTGGCCAGCATCATGAAATAACCTCACTCAGAGTCATGAAATAACCTTGCCAGCATCATGAAATAACCTCACTCAGAGTCATGAAATAACCTTGCCAGCATCATGAAATAACCTTGCCAGCATCATGAAATAACCTCACTCAGAGTCATGAAATAACCTTGCCAGCATCATGAAATAACCTCACTCAAAGGTTATTTCATGGTGCTGTGAGTGAGGTTATTTCGCTTCGCTTCACAGTATGGTGTGTAAACGTTTATGATACAGACTCAGTTTATGCTTCACTCCTAAAAACGAGTTTCTGTGTTGATTAAACATAAGGTATTTATAAAGGAAAAGAAATGTATTGGGATGGCTCTTTCAAATTAAAGATGCAAGCTTAAAACCAAATATACTATACAAAAATATCAAAATTATAGATGCAAGATTAAACCCAAATATACTGTACAAAGATATCAAAATTAAAGATGCAAGCTTAAAACCAAATATACTGTACAAAGATATCAAAATTAAAGATGCAAGCTTAAAACCAAATATACTGTACAAAGATATCAAAATTAAAGATGCAAGCTTAAAACCAAATAGACTATACAAAGATATCAAAATTATAGATGCAAGATTAAACCTAGATGTACTATACAAAGATATAAAAATTAAGGGTGCGAGATTAAACTCAAATAGGCTATACAGAGATATAAAATTTAAGATGTAAGGTTAAACATAAATATACTAGGGGACCAGAAATAATAAAATACGTAAGAATAAACCGAATCATAGTAGAGATATCAAAATTAAAGATGCAAGATTAAACCTACATATAAAAGAGATGCCAAAAATTGAACATGCGATAATAAACCCAAAAATGCTTTTAAAAGTATCCCTTTTGAAGAAATAAAATAAACCATGGATAGTAAAATGAGCTTTAAGTGACTTTTCTGGAATTTTCTTTATGACAACCAGTATTTATTTTTTGTAGAAAAAAAATTAACAAATCATTTCTACCTTCAGGCTATTTTATCCCAAAAATGCTGTACTGTAAAAATATTAACAATAACTACAGGATCTAAGCAATGGTGCTCGTTTATCTAGTTCACTAACTTACTTCAAGTGTATATCGCACGATGGCGCTGCTCACGTAGTTATTTTGGTCGATGAATAAATTTCATGCATTTAGAACATTTTTCGAAATTCCCCGAATTTTTCTTACGGATAACTGTTTAACAGCGGGAGAATTTGTCACGATGTCCTCTTAAATTTGACATTATTTTCAGACAAGTTAGAAAATATATATATATATGTGAAATTTACAAAAAGTAAAACGAAAGTAAAATAATTCGTTGTAAGTTATTGATTCCGAACGACTTGAAGCAGCGTTCGCGAAACAAACATATTCGTCTCCCAACTGAATAAATCACAAATACTTCAAATGGCAGTTTGAGGAGATGTTAAGAATTTTATAAAGATTCAGCTAATGAGCTAAATGCTGAATTATTTAATATACATAATTAATGGGTCTTTCTAATGGGTAAGTGCTTGTTGAAACTGTGGCATGAAGATTCTTTCAAGTGTACCGAAACGTCGTCTCTCATTTCAATAGACAGGTTATCTATCAGAACGTTTCTCTTTATGTAAACATTTAGTTTTTTTCAAAATGCCAGAAAGCTGATTAAATAAGAGATTACCAAATCCAAACGAAATACTAAAACAACCTCAATACAAAAAACAAAACAAAAACGAATTTAAATTGAATGAAGAATTAAAATTACTTTTGGTCGAATAAATATGCTTAATCTGTAAGGTTTTCGGTTTCATCCCAAACCTCGTTCTTACTCCATCTTTTTAAAACAAAATAATTGTTTGTTTGTGAAACTCGCCCAAAGCTGCTTGAGGGCTATGTACATTAGCCGTCCATAATTGAGCAGTGATAGAATAGAGGGAAGGCAGTTAGTGAACACCACCCACCGCCAATTCTTGGGTATATCTATTTAGCAATGAATAAAGTGGATTGACCACCAGGTTAAAACGCCTCCGGGGCTAAAAGGGTGAGCATGTTCGGTGACAGAGATTCGAACCCGTGACCTTCAGATTGCGAGTCAAGCGCCCAAACCACCAGGTTATTCGGCTTTCTATCTTAATTTAACAAGTGGGTTTTCGCCATCTGTTAGTCAGGTGAATTTTAATTTGAAAACACATATCTGGTGTACATTATAACCATGATGTTGTGCAAAAATAAACAAAAGTGGTTAAAAATACGTTGTTGTTGTTCTCTCTCTTAGAAATGTGGTTTAAATATGATTTGTTTGTTTGAAATTAAGCACAAAGCTCCTCAATGGGCTATCTGTACTCTGCCCACCACGGGTATCGAAACCCAGTTTCTAATGTTCGAAGTCCGCAGACATACCGCTGTGCCACTGGGGGGCCGGTTTAAATATGAATAGATATTACAGTGAACTAAAATGTGTAGTCATGTTACCAAAACGTGATTTATTAGGTTATTAATATATTAATTTATGGTCAGGGCAAGCTATCTACTTAGACCTAAACTAAATATCAACCCACTAGTGAATATAGCTAATTAGATATACTATTATTACGTTATTGCAAAAAACTATAATGCATAATTTCATCAGCTTGTGACATTTTCGACCGTGAACACATACTTGTTAGATCCTGTCACCTTTGTACTTGAACTATTCGTAATCTGCCCATTGTAGGTATCGAAACCTAAATTTTAGCATTATAAGCCCTTAGACAACTGCTGAGCCAGCGAGAGACATCGCCTTCGTGAAAGTTTAACTGTGTGGAATAAAAATAATGAAGAACTTTTATGAAAAAAGTCCAGAATTTCCTAAAGTGAAATGGACTTTTTCATTTTAGTTTTCTAACCTTCCTTTAACAATGCGCTAATCAGAATAGCTTCAAACTTGAAATTAAAGTGTTTTTTTTTACATTTAATACTGTCTAATCGTTATCAGAAAAAGATAATTTCAGCATACAGATTTTATATATATATATTGATAAAGTAATTTTAATTTACTCAATTATCTTACACTACTTTTTGCTGTGTGTTCTGGTTTTATTGTCTGAAACAATACTGCTATTAATACGGTATATAAAATATATTTTAATATATTGTTTTTTAAATTTATAGATAGCATTTTAAAATATTCTACTTACTACTGTATAGTACAGTACACATCGAAATAATATCAGTTGTTTGCACTTGGTTCTGTGTTGCACCTAGATCCTGGACAAGATGATGACGAGTGAATTTTTCCGAAACCGGTCTAGTTTAACAGCTCGACGAAAGACACAATTCCGGTATTATCAAATTTACTTCGGTCTGTTTATTAAAAAAAAATCTGGATTATCTATCTCTTGAAACCTCGACTGCTACATTACTCGTATCATAAACTAAAGCCACGTTATTTGTTATGATGAACGACTCAAACTGGTGTAGTTTCTTGGATCATATACACGTAGTGTGCGTGTTTGACTCTGGACCTTACCATGTACAAAACTTTCCAGGATCAGCAGTTCAACCTGGGGAATTCCAAAGATATGGGGGAAAATGAAATATAAATTTTCCCGTAATTCTTAAAACACGGAAGGCATGATTTCGCATGTAACATCTATATTTCCGGATTAGTTGCTGCGTGCAATAAAATAACTCTGGTTCCATACAGGACATTAACTGTGTTTTTATGAATCTATACATAATATACGCAGACAGGTCTTTTAAAATATGTTTGGAAGCCAAAACAAGTATATTAATTAGCAAAGCATAGAAGAGAAACTGTAGAATTTGATATTTTGGCCATAGTTCCCTAAGGTTTTCTATGTAACATAACATAAACAGGGATTATAAAGAGAAAATGTATACATCATAAACCCTTGTACGATCCTGATAAGCTAAGTAAAAAGATTCGAGACATTTATTTGTATCATGTGTGGAGGGTTTGACCTTGTAAACTGGCATATAAAAGGCATAACACAACACTTACAGGTCCGTACGCAGAATGTTTGAGAAGAGGGTTCTAATTTGTGAGATCAAAAGCCAACACATATTGTGCTAATGCCATGCGGGTATGGGAGAATTCTCCCCCCCCCCCATAAGTTTATAAAAAATAGGTGCTATGAGATTAAATTTTGAACCAATTTTGCACCAAATATAGCTTAACTAA